TCGTTGGGAAGGTGAAGAGGGGAAACGGTGGAACTCAGTCCGGCCGGGAAGGAAGACGTGTGAGTGAGGGAGGCGATTCAGATGAAGAGTGAGAACGATGTTACTGTTTCAGGTTGTAGAGTTTTACCTCGTCTCTCTGGAGTGAATGTCTGCAGTCAGTGCATTGATCCAAGCAGGTTCTATTCAGTTTGGACTCATAAAAATTGATCTACACAAAGCAGAGCTGTTGTTGTTTTTTTATTATTTACTTTGTAAGTTATTCTCTCCTTTATAAGACCATATAATGTACTTAGAGATATATATTTCTAGCATATTAGCCAATTAGCATTTCATTAGTGTCTGAACTATGTTTTACAAATCTTTGTCTGATCTCAGTCAGTAAAATGTCATTTTTTTAAAAAAAGCAGAATATGTCTGTAATTGACAGAATGTGCTATGATTTCAGCTTGTGTTCACATTTACTGTCCCATTCCTTAGAACACTGCAGAACTGTGTATTTGTGTGCAGAAGATGATAGTAATAACCCCCCAACAACTTTCAGAACATGCTCTTTGTCCTTGAAAACACACTAGGGGTGCTGTTGCTCTGTGAAGTGATACAAGAAGAAATCTTTTTAAAATGTTCAGTTTTTTTTTTACCTCACTGTTTATTTAAGCAACATTTCATTCTCGCACATTAAAGCCAATTTATCTATGGACTAAAGGTTAGCAACAAAAACAGAGATATCACTTCCTCTTTCCTATCAGATCTTTCGCTTTGTACTTGAGCTTTCTCAACAGAAAATGTTAGATGATGACGACCATGTGGAAGTTTCCAAAAATATTGAAGTCTTTCAGCTTTTCTGTCACCAAAGCAACTGAATAATACCAATCAATGTGATTTTATGTGTCGGCTTCGTTAGTTAATTGGTTATGTCTTTAAAAATAAACACCCTCCACATAGTTGAAGCAGGAAATTTCTTTCAATGAGCACGTAATGCACATTTTTTTTAACCAAACAAAATTTACTGGATTTTTTTTCAGACAATATTTCAGGATGATTATAGAAGCAATAAAATGAGAGCAAAAAATGCAACACAGCATGTGAAAGATCATGAAAACAGCAACAGACAAGTAATTCTACTAAATCAGCTTTTATTTAAGGATAAACAGATGCACACACAGTTTTACTGCTGCTGGGATTTTCAATGTCACCATGTTCACTGCGTGCAGTTGATGCTATCACTGTCTACTGTATGTATTTATGGTGCACATTGTAATCTGTAAAAAAAATCCCATGAATCTTCTCTGTATCATTTGAATTTGTCTGAAAAAGTTAATCTCCAGCCCTGTGTACAGTAAATTGACTGGAGCGGCTCTGCAGACAATGTGAGCCCAACACCAATCCTGTCGACAGTGAGGCTTTTGATGCTGCCATCTTGTTTTATTTTTTATTTTTTTTGCCACTTCAGTAGAAAGCAGAACTGAATATCTGCATATTAGTATCTTAGCTTCTTCATCATCAGCGGCTTTT